ACATTCATTCTTTGGTTTCTTGCCAAGGACAGAATTTAGTTTGTGGCTCTTTTTAAACATCTTGGATCTCCTTCTGTCTCCTCCCATTTCTAAACTCACACACACACTTTATTCTTATTTCCACCCACTTAAACATGTTCTCTTTGTTGGCATAGTTTAATTTTTATTCACTGACATCATTATTTCAGATCTCCTGTGGAACTACCGTGCTCTTTTTTGGTCTTTGGGTCCCCAGGGTATGGCTCAGAGCGAAATGCTTTCCTTCCTCCATTTACAGCACTGCCCTCATACTGTTCTGTCATTTGCAGATTGATTAGTTACTTCTGCAGCTGTTGCCATCAGTTACCAATGGCTTTAAATGAAGAGACAGGCATATGAAAATACTTTGCAAACTCTACAGCCCTCTACAATGCTGAGGACTATTTAGGCATAAGATATAGAGTATAATTTAGGCTTCAGTTGAGGCAAATGCCCCTGACTTTGATTATGCAGAAAAACTGTCTTAAAGCTTCCTGGAGCTGAAAAGTGGTCTACAGAGGAAGAGAAGTCTTTCAAGGAGGAAATGGAATACCCTATTTAGAAGCTGCTGTCAATTTGATTCTTCCTCCATTTAAATAGAGCAAATCCATTTTTATCAAATGCTAAGGACAAAAGAAGCACTGAGTCCTCCAAACTTATGCTTCCTAAAGGTGGAAACCATGTCTCCCAATTTGTTGCTTTGCACACAGGCTAAGAATATAATGACTGCTGTGTACCTATGAAACATGGTATGGAAGTATAGAAGGAATTACAGTGCTGGTAGAGAATATAAACAGGGATCTTCCAGAAGCTCATGTTAATTCAAAATGATTAATTAATCATGACAGCCAGGCTATGGTTCCAGGGCTAACACTAGGAAGAGGCAGGTTTCTGATGTGCATATCTAAGTAGGGAACTAAGAGACCTAATAGATATGGAAGAAAGAGCATTGGACTAAGAGTATAGAGATGTAAAAAACAAACAAACAAACAACAGAAACCAACCCAACTGATCACTGAATTGCCACATGATGAAACCAGCTTGTTTTTTGGATGTGACAAGGCCTTCCAACTGAGATATTATGATTCTGTAGTATCTGATTCTACCAGCTGACATGGTTTTGTTGGTTTATCTCAATTCCTTATGTTTTAGTTCCCGTGTTTCTGTGCTCCTGATTTGTGTGAATTCAGCCACTGTGATTGACGCAGGGAACAGAAGATGTAGCTCGTCCTTCAACTAGGCACTAACTCTGTCTGTTCTGTGACAGATACGTGCCCAAGCCCTAGAACACCCTAACAGAAGCAATGCTGGGCAAGTCCCTGATAACATGGGACTTTGTTCCTTTTGTTTCCCCACAGCACTTCCCAGACGCTCCAGCATCAGGAACTCCCAAACTTTTTGACAGTGTACTTCACACACTACAAAAAGCATAATAGTGATGTCTGGAACTGTAAAAATTTCAGAATACATTAATAAAGTCTTCTGTTTGTCTTTCAGTCTTCGAGTCCCAGATTTAAGGGCATAATGAAGTCTTGCTGCTTGTATTCTGTGGAGCTCTGCAACGTCCTGCTGTGAATGCTACTCCTTTAACTTCTCATTGACTCCAGGAGGGTCAGTTCTAGGTAGTCATATTCTCCCTAATATCCTGAAACATGACCTACAATTTAATCTTGCCATCTTCCTTTGTATCAGAGTTGTAGTTTAGAAGTAGACTGGGGTTCCCGAGATCCTTGATCCCAGAAAATGAATCCATTGGTTTGAGTCATGCCTACCGGGGCAGTCCTCTGCAAGCACTCCTGCATTCCGATGCACAGGCCTGGGACTGGCAATTGCCCCCGAGCCTCCCTAGTTCAGGATCTCTGCTGTTCTGTAAAGCTTTCTGGTGGCAAGGCTGCACCTACCTGCCATTTCCAATTCGGCCTCTAACCATTTGTCCTTCCAATTCTTCCAAAAATGGCTTCAGAAAGAAAAATAGCTTCTTTGAGATCTGGCCCTCCACTTTGCTTCTCCTAGCTAAAACTTGCTTCTCCCCTAGCTGGACTATAAACTTCCTCTTGCTGATAGGAACCATGCCTTTTAACCACTTCGGTACCAGCATCCACTGTATTCGACAGCCACAGATGAACGCACACAGCGACTTTAGCCGACAGCCGTGATATGACTTTTCTAATTTTTCATTTATCAAAATAAAATTGTGAACATTTAAAAATAACGTAATGAAAACATATATGTATATGTTACCTATTCTGATTTACAAGTAAAGCTGCCTGTCAAGTAAAACAAGCTTTCAGTGCTTTCAAGCTTTCCTCATCACACAAGAGCAAAACGGATTCGTCGTCAATGCACAGCACAAACTACCGTGTGGACTGGGAGGGCCGGCTGGGGGCAAGGCTTCGAGGCCAGTGAGCACCTTGCCGAAGTGGTTAAAATTTGGACTCCAGCACCCAAATAGTGCCTGGCATATAGTAATCACTTTATGTTCTTTTAAAGAATGACTGAACAACTGAATAAATAAATAACTCTTTCCTTTAATGGACACTGAATATAATTCACTGTTCTGTAATAGTCGTATTTTCTTTCTCTTACTATTTCTGAGGCCCATTTCTAAAACGGTAGGTACTTGGTAAGGTTCCGAATTATAAAATATTTATACATATTATAGTCTTATATTCACCTTTTTAAAGAATGTAGCACTACATGATTGATTCTAATTCATCTCGTCTATGTTTTTCACCTGCTTTCGTAGGTGGGCAATTCTTGTTCTATCTGCTAGCTTTCCACCCCAACAGTAGTCTACATGGACGAAGGAATATGTCTTTGTACTGTTTCATTCAGCTTTATCACTGGCTTGACTGCCTGCTGACCACATATGCAGACCCCTGGGTAGGGCAGCAGCTATGTTGGATGACAAATCAGGCTCCCAAAGCCTGGGTAAACAGGACTCTATACAGAACTGAAGAAGATGAAATGCAAAAATGATAAAAAAAGAAAAAACAAGTACAAGATGAGGACAGCATATGGGAAAAAGCCTTTGAGTTCATTCATTGTGTGTTGCTTTTGGACATTTGAAAAAAAATATTTTTTTTAAATTTCAGCATATTCTGGGGGTACAAATGTTTAGGTTATGTATATTGCTCTTTCCCCCTCCCCCCTCCTAGAGGCAGAGGGAGTCCATCCCCCAGACTGTGCTCATTGCACTCATTATGTATGTATACACCCATCCCTCCTTCCCCCTCCCATCTGCCGACGTCCGGTAAATGTTATTCCTATATGTGCACTTAGGTGTTGATCGGTTAATACCAATTTGCTGGTGAGTACATGTGATGCTTATTTGAAAAAAAAATTTTTTTTAAATCTCAGATCATTCATTTGCAAAATAGGAATATTTCGTTCAAGTATTTATTAGGTGCTTATTGTTTGCCAGGCACTATTCCAGGAACTGGGGGCACAATAGTGAGCCATACAAAATACTGTACCTCTCCTCACTGAGCTCACATTCTAGAAGGGAGAGAGATAATGGGTGAAATAGTGATGGCTGATGGCTGCTTTGAAAAAACATAGTACACTCGTATAAAGCACTTAAAATAGTACCTAGCATTCCTAAAAGCAGAAACAACTCAAATGTTCATTAACTGATGAATGGATACGCAAAATACTGTACAGCCATACAATGGAATATTATTCAGCTATGAGAAGGAATGAACTACTGATACATGCTGTAATATGGATGAACCTTGAAAACGTTATGCTAAGTGAAAGAAGACACAAAAGGTCGCATGTTATATGATTCTATTTATAGGAAAGATGCAGACTAGGCAAATCCATAGGGACAGAAAGCAGATTAGCAGTTGCCAGAGGCTGCCAGGGGTAGGGGAATAGGGAGTGACTATTTAATGGGTATAAGGTTTCCTCTTGGGGTGACAAAAATGTTCTACAACTAGATAGAGGTAACAGTCGTACAACATTGTGAATATATTAAATGTCACTAATGGTTAATTTTGTTTTGTGTATGTATTGTGCCACATTAAAAAAAATAGTACCTGACATAATTATTATAAGCATTCTATAAATTTTACAAAATATTTTTATAGTAAAACAAACAAAAATATCTCTCAAACAGTAAATTACCTGGGTAAGTAAATGCTTAAACACACTTTTAATCCCTGTAATGCTCTGCAGTCTTTGAAGAACATGATCTGTAGGTATTAACATGGAAAGATGTTGATGTATTTAATGAAAAAAAAACCCTGCAGATCAGCATGTATGGTATGATTTACATGTTATCACATGCTAATGTGAAAAAATCACGTTAATGTGATTTTAAATGTTAAAATACACATGCCAATGCACACACCTGTTATTATACCTGCCTATGAAATGCATGGACTGGAAGGCTGATACAAGAAAAATAAGAACAGTGGTTATCTTAGGTGAATAAGATGGGGCGTGCCAGGTAAGGTTTCGTTTGTCTTTGTTTTACTTCATACCCTTCCATATTGATTTTGTGTGTGTACAACATACAGCACCTTGGGGTTTTTGGATAAGTTCAGAGTTGATAGTGTGACATGGCAGTCAAATAATTATAATCTCCTCATAGGTGGCATGATAAGAAATATAGAATCTAGAACATGTTAGGTTAATTCCCAAATGAGAATTAAAATTTATTGGCTTCATACCCCTTTAAGAGGAATAAAACTTGTCACTTTCTCAGTGTAAAAATCCTCCTTCAATGCCTAGGAGTGGCTTCTGCATGAGGTCACAGGGACATGGTAAGTTCAGAGTGTCAAGCGCATCACAGGTGTTCAAATACTTGCCTAATGTTCTCAGAGTCCCAAATAAAGGGTCCCAAATAAAAGTCCCAAAGCACACGTTGTTTTGAGCTTTTATTCAACTTTTCTCCTTAACTTGTTAAAGAATGTCTTTAAAAATTCATTTAATATAAGAGCATAGGGTGATATTAAGAAAGTCCATCCACACATCTGAACTCATAAAAAAAAATCATTTTATTGATCCTTTACCATACAAAATTTATTCAAATTACACCCATTTGAAGTGGTAAGATCACAGCTAGAGAACAGGTCACCCTGTAACAAATCTATTTACAAAATCCATCATAAAAGCTTTTTTTTTGTTGTTTTTTACATTATATTACATATTTTCTTTTTTAAACTAGCATACAACACAAAGCTAAATTGATTAGTAGTTTGCCTACTCCCAATTTTGGGAGAAATACTTCCTTTTTACAAAATCATGTACCCCGTAGGAAAAGAAATTCCCACACCCTGACAATTGCCACCCGACTTACTCTGCAAGGCATCTTCCTTCAAATCCCTCCTTCTCATACACACGAGTTGTCATGCACACACTGAGTTCTTATTTTCTTTTTCCTGAAAGCTAAAGCTTAAATACTGCAATTTTATTTACAGATCTACACGTACAACAAAAATGAAAACAAGAACCACAACAACAACAACAACAAAAACGAACAAAATAACACTCTTAAAAAATTACAAACCAGCTAGAAAATATTCTGGCAGTGTTTACAAATTAATTGCTATTTTTGTACAAAATTGCTAAATAATGAAAATGTGAGTAGACTACATATCAACTTAAATAAAACGATTGCTATGCACAACTCTGTACATATAAACACACACCTAACACTGTTTGACAGCTCATGTGTTGCCCTTTATACATTTTATTTTCTAAGGCTCACGCAGTCATAATCCGCACACTTGTAACTTTTAGCCATTTCATGTGTGAGCTTTAATAGCAGCAACTCAATGGTACCAGGAGACCTGCATACTTAGTACTTAAAGTAACACAAATACTGTAGTACTACTAACCCAACTTTGTGTGCTAGATACTATGTCAAAAAGAAAATGACTAATGCGAACAGAATACAGTATGGAGGTCTAATTTCATGTACACCAGTTACGCCCAGTAACTGGAAAAATCTTATGCATGAAGGAACTTTTAAGACTTATTAGTATTCCTTTCATTTTTAAAACAATAAATATGGCATTACATTACGAAAAGGTTCAACGAGAGAAAGTCAACAAAACACACAACAACCTAGCCAGGTGAGCTCAGTCTTTAGACTTTGGAAAAAATCAGCTTTGTGCAGCTGGCAAAGAGAATTACACAAAGCTGGAAGCAGAGGCAGCTAACCAGATGAGATAAATATGGGAAATGGGGAAAAGCTTGGCATAAATGGTTTCCCATACAGGAAAAAACCCCACAGTGCATTTCCAGTAGGCACTTAACACAAAGCTCCCTCTGCCTCCCCCACCCCAAAGCTTCATCTCGGACCACACCGATATTTTGTACCAAGTCCAGTGTGTGTGAGGGGAGGAGGCCGGGGATGGAGGCCGAAGAAGAAAAAGGAAGATAGTCTGCACCTTTGTTTTTCTTCCCAAACATACACCCATGCATACCCACACAAAGAGTTTAAAGTGCTGGTGTCATCGGACTTGACCCCACCACCACTTTGCATATTGTGGACATCTACCTAGAGTAAACTGGCTGGGGCTCTTGTGGTTTCTGTTTTTGTTTTTTTTCCTAAGGGATATTTTCAATTCGATTAAACACGTATGAGTTGAGTGCCTACTACGGTGCCTGCCGCTGGGGCAAGCGCACAGCATTTCAATTTAACTGTTCCTACTGAGGTTTGTTCTTTAACAGACTCCCTCATTCCCGCAGTCCTTAGCATCCAAGGAATGGACTGGAGGTCCTATGAAGCCACATTCCCAGTGGGTGATGGCCAGTGCCACCCGCCAATGGGAAAGCCATTCTTGGACACAACCTGTAGGATCTGCAGCTGACACAAAGCCCCCAACATGTGCTGCCATTCCTGAAGAGTCAAGTGAAGACGCCCTGGCATTCTTTCCCTTCATTTTCTACGTCCCGACTTCCCTTACTCATTCCTTCACAGAGGAAAGGGGACCGGTTCTGGCCAGAACTATGCCAGCTCCCGACACAGTGGGAGCCTCTTGTTCTTGCCAGCTTAAGGAAATGCCACTCACACAATGGGGATGTCTTTCTACCTAGAGGCCTCTCCATCTGACCCCATCCTGAGAAGTGGTCTCCCTGAGTGCGGAGTAAGAGAGCCCTTTCCCCGGTCGCAGGGGCCCCGGGAAGCCCAAGGACGGAGGGATCCATGCCTGCTGCCCCTTGGGACTGCTATGTCATCAGACCTGGTTCTCCTTTCTGATGGGCCACCCCTGTCAGCGAGCCCCAGGACTGACTCGCTCCAAGCTCCCCCTACCGGGAAAGGAAGCAAGGTGGGACAAAGCTTGCAGAGGCTGGTAGACTGTAGGTCACACAGGTTTAGATGCTCTGATCAGTAGAGGTTCTCTCCCTCTGCTTAAGTAACGTGAATTTGCAAAAACTGCTCCAAAGTAAACAATTAAATTGAAATGGTGATGGGTGCCACAGGAATGCTTCAATGGCAGCTAAAAAAAAAAAAAAAAAACAAAAAAAGTCTAAAACAATCCACAAAGAACTCCTAAGTAGGCATTTGCTACAAATCAAATGGAGACTCACAAATACGTTGGGGATAGGGGAAGTGGGAGTGGTTTATGGAGACAGGAAAATCCACAACAGCTTAGAGTGGCAGAACTCTATTAGTCTTCTGTATCTGCAACAAGTATATCTGAAAACAGGTTCTTCATCTGAAAGGCTGTGGAGGTTCTCTTGACCTCCTAGTGGGACACACAGTCCATAGCTTAAACTGAATTATGACAGTAATTTAAATATTCCTAAGAAGAGCTGAAGAAATTCATTTCATACTTTTGCATGACTTCAAGTTTGTAATTGCTGCAGTTCCATTCCATATTAGCAGACCCCAAAGACATGCATTCTGCGGAGAAGGCACGGCTTGAAATGCTATTAAGGAAGATTGCTGTTTCCTAGTGGGCCAGGTGGCCAGACCCCATTCTACAGCCCATTCGTCAGGCACAGCAAGCCAATCCGGGAGGAAGGGAGCAGGGGAGGAAGGAAAAGTCTGGGTGAGAGACACCTGATTGCACATTTTCTCACTTGCTGACGAATCCAGGAGATCTTGGAGCCTGGGCAAAGCAGGGCTTTCCCAAGGGAGCCTGCAACTGTGCGTTTAGACAATTTGTTTATTTAAAAAAAAAAAATTCATTAAAATGTCAGCTTTCTTCTGAAGTTTGTAGTTTACTTCATGATACTCTCTTGGAGGAAGAAGGTAGGAAGGGACAACACTGCATGACAGATGTTCTGGTTCCGTGATAAAAAAATATTGGTTTGTAAGGAGAGTTCACACAAAGCATAATCAACTACACATGAAGTCTTCCACCAGTGGGAGCTTTTCCAAATCATAGGCATCAAAGAGATCGCTGATGCCTTCCTCCTCCCCAAGGCTCAGGAGGTAGTCCTCTTGGAGAAGGGGGGGTAGTAAGTTCACAAACGGTCCTTCTAGGTTGGAAGGAATTTGGTCCTCAGTCTGCTGTAGAAGGTTGGCTGGGGAGGTCAAGGGAGAAAGGTTTGCCATAGAAATGGAGCAGTCGCTATGTCCTGAGTTGGTTGAAGCCAAGTCTGAAAGGAAAATATTGGTGGAAACAAAAAATCAGTTAGGAGAAAAATGAAATGGAGTTTTTCTAGAAGAATGAATTTGCGCTGTTATAAAAAAGCACATACTCTTTGCTAACAATGACAGTGAGGCAGATCACCTTTTATGCCAACAGACACAAAAGAGTGATCTGTGGCCTTTCTTTGTCCTAGTCCAGCTCACTTATCTTTTAAAAGACTGTCCACAAACAAGAATGCAAACAGCTTCAATGATGAGAGGCTAACAAGTTCAAAAACCAAAATATAATTACTAAAAAAGTTGGCTCCCTAATAGAAACTCGCCAATTTTTTTCTAATTAACAAAAACGTTTTTCTTTTTTTTTTGAGACAGAGTCTCACTTTATTGCCCAGGTTAGAGTGAGTGCCGTGGCATCAGCCTAGCTCACAGCAACCTCAAACTCCTGGGCTCAAGCTATCCTCCTGCCTCAGCCTCCCAAGTAGCTGGGACTACAGGCATGTGCCACCAGGCCCGGCTAATTTTTTCTATATATATTTTAGTTGGCCAATTAATTTTTTTCTATTTATAGTAGAGATGGGGTCTCACTCTTGCTCAGGCTGGTCTCGAACTCCTGAGCTCAAATGATCCGCCTGCTTCGGCCTCCCAGAGAGCTAGGATTACAGGTGTGAGCCACAGCGCCTGGCCAATACCTTTTATTTTTAAGGAGACAGGTCTTGCTATGCTGCCCAGGCTGGCCTCGAACACCTAGGCTTCAACGATCCTCCTGCCTCTGCCTCCGGAGTAGCTGGGAGTAGAGGCAAAACTCACCAATTTTAACTCAGTCTTTTTTGAACAACCAGCTTATTAAAGCCATCTCTAAAATTACATATAAATAAGACATTTCCACTTTGAATTTCTGTGGTGCAAAAACATGGCCTTTTGTTTTACCATTTTAGGTGCTGTATTTTTGCTCAGTATTAAATCTGACCTGTTCATGTAAAGTCACCCCTATTCTTGCTGCTATAATGGGATACAGCAGGGAAAAAAAACAAATACATATCTCTAAGCTAAAACTGAAAACAACAGCAACAACCAAAAACCCCCAAAAACCAAAATGCAAACAGCTTCCTTTGCTCTAGGGACAGAATGGGAAGAAGTAGTTAGGTCTATTTGTACGGGGTTTTTTTTCCCCCCGTATTCTTTCCCCAACTCGTTGGGGTTTGGAAAAATGAGACAAAAATTCTCTGACCAAGGCTCTTCTGTCCACATTTTTTTCTTGTCCCTCTAACAATCTTTGCAGCATCATTTCAAAGGTGTGTGGCTGAGTGTAGTTGACGATACACCAGGAATAGCTCACAGCTTAGCTCTCTTGCTGGTTTTCCAAAACACCGCGAGGAAATGTTTTCTGCCACTAGAAAAAGCCTAAAGCGACTCCGTATGTGGGTGAAGGGAGCCATTTGCCCCAAATCATCATTTCATTCTGTAGATGAGTGAGAACGTCTTTTTAAAAATGTTACCTCAATAACAACAGAAGTTTGTGCTGCTTGCCTAGACTTGTGGTTACAATACAGGATGATCCTTCTAGTCACCTTCACTTTTAACATAGTTTCCGAAAGACGAAAGTGGAATTTTTACCTTTGGAAGTGGGTTTAGGGATATTCCCATTGTGGTCTTGATTGTTTGTTTTCATTGGACTGTGTGTTTCAGTCTCTTCTGGACACAGGTAAACCTCAATGGGTCCTTGGGTACTTGCCAAATGTATTTGTAGGTTCTATGAACAGAAGCAGAAGTTCAAACCAGACGTTCTTTTAAAAATAAAAGCCATAGTAATTTTCATCTAAAAGGGAAAGTAAGAGTAATGTTCATTGTTCATTTTGCCTCTTCCCTGCTAGTCTAACTCTATCAATGACGGTCACCCTCTAGAGCAGGGGTCAGCAAACTATACAGTCTGAGGGCCAAATCCAGTCCACCAGCTGGCTTTGTAAATAAAGTTTTATTAGAAGAGAGTCGTGCCCATTCCCATTGATTATGTATTGCCTCTGGCTGTTTTCATATTCCAGTGGCAGGGTTGAGTAGTTGAACAGTCTGGACAGAGACAGCCTGGCTCACAAAGTCAAAAATATTTACTATCTGGTAGATTAAAGAAAAAGTTTGCTGAGTTCTGCCCCAGAGAAAGAAAACATTTTTGGAGGGCCAGTCTGAAAATGACACTATGGGCAGAGTAAATTGTGTCCTTTAAATATTTTCTTTTTCGGCAAATTATTAAAAGGTCCTTTAAGTGTTCCAAATACAGTATTTCCATGATATTGTTCTTTATGGGAGGGCTTTTTAATGTCAGCTTTTAACAACCAACTGATAAATAGTATTCTTAAATGCTAGGAACTGCATTTAAGAAGAGAATACAGCACACTAATATTTAAATTTCTTTTTCATCTAGGTCACGGAGCTATTATTATCTTTTAAGGTGAGACATCTACCCTAGATGGGAGCTTGTAAATTCCATTCCCTCCTTGTCTTTCATGTATTTTCTTTTTACTATAGTTCTTATCTCATAGTTAAGTCTAGGCCTATATTATCAAAGCAAATTTGAAAATCGAAAACTATGCTCCTTACTTTCTTAAAATATTCTAGTCTATCAATTAACTCCAAGATCCATTTTATTTTTTAAAAGCAAATACGTTACAAATAACAAAAAAAATTCTTAAAATGTTCCAAGTTAGGGAGCTACTTTAAAACATTCATGTCTCTGTTCATGGTAGGGACCATATACAGGGTAATCAATATAAACTTTCCCAAGTTGTTCCAATTGATCGGAAACACCAAATAACAAATTACGAAAAGGAGGAAGTACAAGAGGGACAAGACACATCCTATACTAGTTTGAATTGAATGTCCTGCCAGGTTAAAATTAGACTTTTTGAACAGTCAATAGACATTGAGCTGTTGAAATGCTTTTAAATTTAGGGTTAAGTCAAACAAATAGGAAAAAAAACGATCCAATTCTTACGAGGTGACAGACTTTACAAGTCAATGATTCATGAATTTTAGGCATTCCAGAAAGATCTTTGCAGATGAACACAGACGCTGTCTCCTTACCTCTATTGAGTCAGGCACTTCAAGTCTTGTTTCTGGAGGGGCTTTCACAACTATAACAGTTTGGTCTTTAAGGCCACTAATTTTTCGAATATCTTGATATGTAACATAAGCTAACGTAAAGAGCGTCAAGGAAATCTTCCACCTAATTGCTTTGGATGTAACCATTATGAAAATGACAAAACAGATGCATGGAAAAAATTTAAAGTATTTTATGACTTATAAGCATATATAGGTCTCCCTTTCTGGATCTTCAAATATATTGGGTCCCCCATGAATCTTCTTTTTTGGTTGATATTCTAAACGACAAAAGAAAACATAGCTTTATCTTGCCCATTTCTAAAGAGTCTATGGCTATATAAAATATTGAAATAAGTGCATAAACAGAATAGTTAAAATAAACTATCAAAAGAAAATCAAAATGCTTTTTAAGTCAGGAATTCTGAAACCAGGGTCTTTTGGAACACAGAATTGTATTCCATGATCTCCAGTGAAGCGTTCTGTCACTCAAATTGAATGATGACAGATCCCAATTTGCAGAAAACATTTCAGCTCTACTAACCACAATGTTTTTGAAACTCCAGTTACTTCTATCTGCTATTAGCAAGTGTCGGCAGCTACACATAAATGAATAAGTAACAAATATATTAGTGAGAGAACTCAAGATACTGCTCAGACAGGCAGCTTGTTTTCTTAAGTGCACCTGGGCTGGTTGTGATTATATATTGCCCGCAGATAACAGTGTCATTATTTCTCTGTTAGAAAAATTATCCTTTGTGTCATATTATTAACTCTATCAATATTTCAGTGTTCACGAGGAAGAAAGCAGCTACCAGGTGCTCTGTGACCTGAATGAATTTGAGAAATACTGATTTAGGCAAAGAGAAAAGAATGATTCAGTACTCTTGGTGGTTATTTATTTCGAAGCACTGAATAATTCTTTTAACTGTCCTGGCAGCCAAGCCTAAAAGGATATCATGAAAGAATATGGTACTTCTTATATGACAAAAGCATTCATGTGAGCTTGACACTTGGCACATGGCTTTCTTATAAGGGACATGGAGTAACACAACTGATGTACAACGTCTTTAGCCAGTTACTTTTTTTTTTGTATGAACCGACAAAAATTTCCCAGGATAAAACAGCAAATGACAAATCAACAAAGGCATTTTGCAGGTAATATATAGCAAATAGAGTCTATGATCTAACAAATTTAGTACAGAAAAAGGGCTTAGAGAGCCTAGAGGAAATGATGTCCCTTAGAAAAGTAGCTTCTTATCAGTAGCCGAAGGAAGCTATGAAACTGTTCCCCAGATAAAAAGCACATCCACACAAAATCTGAATACACATTTAGGGGCATCTATCACAGACAATCTTCTTTCAAGTCTCTACAGTTGAACAATAGCCAATTCAGTGTTGAGCTCAATTGTGGTAGCTCTTGCAAGATTCTGGGTTTTAGGGTGCCACTTAGCCCATCAACAAAGCCAACTGATGCCTTCATAGAAAACTGGGCAGTTCTGAATTTTTACTGAGAACACAGGGGGAAACTGATAAGCAGGTACTTACTCCACAGCCCACTGTCAAAAAAGCTATGTGACAAGAACTTATTAAAATAAAAACTCATCTACAATTACTCAACATGCTGCAGGAAGGAAAATTTCAACACATTTGTGAACAAGCTGTACCAATTTGGGAACTGAATGGCGAATTGAAATAAATTGTGCAAACATATTTTCTAATCTTACAAACTTTAAAAGTGCTTCCTTTGTGGCTGGCTCCCTCCTAAATTTGCTCCTTGGGTTCACAGTCCCCTGCAAGGACGCTTTCATTTTCTGCAACTAAGGCCCCAGAGAAAGCCATATAGGTGACAATGGTATAAGCTACATGTTCCAGAAGGCTGCCAATCATGTGTAACCACACATCTCTTCCACAATGGGGCTCCCAACTAAACAATGAATGAAACAGCCTAATTGTTGCCCCCCACCCCCAAACCCACTCTGGCCACCAGTGAGAGGCCAAATCATCACACCTCTTCTCCATCTCACTAATGATCAGCTGACAAGGCTAACTCTTTGGTCAACAGGAAATGAACAATTGCAGGTTTAAAAAACTGCCAGCATTGGCAAAGGAGGGACTAAATGTCCCTGCACCTTCCAAGGGAAGGCCTGTTCAAGATGAGACACTAGAAGAATCTGGGCGGGACATACTTCATTTTCTGTCTAATAAAGGTGTAATGCGGAATCATCAGCAGTTTGGAACTCAAACTAGAGATGGGATAACTTAAAAATTGTTTTCTGTCTTCCACTAGTAACTGAGCTTGCAGGCAAATCTTGCGGGCATAATGAAGCAATCTCCCTCTTATTTTGTCTGTGGGGAGGTGATGAAGAGCAAGTTGTCCTGAGAGGGTCAACAGATTTTCATCAAGTAGGGAAGAAGAATTGGCTTTTCATATTTTTATTTCCAAGGACTCATGTTTGTAAAGGAACAGATGAACTGAGACTTCTCAGGTCTTGGCGTGCTTCCGAAATCAGTTTTTGGTGTTGGGAATCAGCATGATGCACTTTAAAAGTTATAGCATAATTTTCCTATATTCTTTCAAACCTTCAACTATAGTCCCATCAGACAGATTCAACAAATTCCAATTGCTACAATATCTGATGAAAAGAAAATAGAATGTGCAAACCCCAACAGTGACAGCTAACACCCACCAAAAATCTGGAAAGCCAAAGATGAATCTGCTTAGTGTTGTCATTAATATTAATACTGACACCTTATGTATCTTTTAATAGTATGGCCTTACGCTATGAGTATGCCCATATGTCTCAACCATACATGAATAAAATACTTTAAAAAACAGTTCCCACCTGGCTATCAAACTAGATAAGCATAGGATCCAGTCTGATGACTATCTTACCATAAATACTGACTTCTTAGGCAAAGATAAGTGGGTTACACGCACATGCACACACTTACTTGCATGAAACCAGAGTGAAAAATCTACCTTGTGTATAAATCAGATTGTCAACACTGGAAATAGTCTAGAAAGCACTAACCCCCAATGAACCGGTGGCACAAAGGATATCTTTGATTCTCTGAATCCTCGGTTAACAGTTTGAGGTCCAGGGTGCAGCTTTGGATCAGTTCATCTAATTTCTTCTCTTCCTGACTGAGCTCGGTCACTTCTTTTGACAGGCCTTGGCACTGGGCCAGCATGCCCCCATCCTCAGACAGACTGCAGCCCCTGGAAACCCAAACACAGACTCTTCATGGCTACTCATGAGAGGCAGGGGAGGGAGAAATGGCCCTTTGGGTGAATGTCCCCTCACACTGCTTGTTAGCCAAGTGTTAAAATCAGAACACTTATACATTTTTTCATAAATACAGTCCTGCACTTCTCACACCATAGAAATTAAGCAAAAAAGCATTGCTATTTTCAGGGTTCTTTCTTTCAGGGGAGGCCTCTTCTTCAGAGGGCTCAAATCTAGAGGGCAAAAGAAGGCAGCCACCTCTACCCCTCCTCCTATATGCCTTCTAGGGGGGGAAAAAAGGTGGGGTGGGGGAAAGGATAGAAAAACAGAAAAGATGAAATGGTTCAAAATTCATTCTTTTTCTTTTAAATAGAGATGGGGTCTCGCTTTTGCTCAGGCTGGTCTTGAACTCCTGAGCTCAAGAGATCCTCCCACCTCAGCTTCCCAGAGTGCTAAGATTATAGGTGTGAGCCACCACGCCTAGCCAAAATGGCTCAAAATTTAAAACAAGTCATCTAAAAAGCATGAAGGACTCAGGTAACTTCTGAGGGTTTTATACCAACACTTAAAAAGAAAAGGAAGCAAAGGAAACAGCTGTGTGTGGTGTACGCAAGAACAAAGACCAGTGCCTGATGTTTCTCTAAATCATAGGCCAAAACGAATTACCAAACTGTCACAAAATTCCAAAAAGCACAAAGAAGTTACCCGTTATCATGTCTGAATTAGTATTCTTTTTCCAGAGACACCCCATAACTGATTTATTACTTCCAATATGCTCTAATAGTTCAATACTGTCCTTATAAAAATTGGCTGTTCAGATGCTCCGACCAAAATTCATAAATGACATTATCACACGTGTGGGTGTACAGGTAACAACGGTTCTCATTCCTGCTTTACAGAGGAAACTGAGGCATTTAAGTCTTGCCTTAATTTATACAGAAAGTGAGTTAATCTGTTATTATCACCGTGAATAAAGATGCTTTGTGACTGACTGTGCGAATGTGAATGTACACACAGATGACTCTTAAGCCATAGTTAATTTCCAAATTCCTACTAGAAACAAGCCAAAGACGTGTGCAGGCATCGTGTGAGCAGACACACAGACGTGAGTGTAACCAATGACCAGCACTCCGGTGACCACTGCAGGGTCCCCTTGCTTGACTCTCAACAAATACAAATCCTCTCACCTCTGACAGTATCTAAACAGAACGTCCCTTTGTTAAAGAGACTTTGAGCTTCCGGCTAAGAAGCTGAGGGGGGAAGAGGGAATGAGAGAGGAGAAACGATGTGTGGGCATGGAGGTGGAAGCTGGGACGGGCGGTTTGAAATGACCCCCTCGGACCCGGGGCCCGGGGAGGCCATCGACTCCTACTCACATCCACTGGACGTTGTTTTTAGACTTCTTCTTAATGAGGTGGATGCCTTCCAGAACGTTGGTGATATCATAAATCCTTCTCTTTTGCACCTTTAGCACCTCTGCTGCCTTGTTCAAATCCAAGACCCCATCAGGCGATTGGCTCAGGAGCTGAATGAACTTCTTGGTGAGCAGACCAAGGGACGTATCATACCGCGTTTTTTCTGAGGGAGATTTTGGAGCTTAAAGAAAAACAAAAACCGAGCGGGTGGGGGAGGGGATAGGGGGAAAGGTAAAGAAATGAAGGGTGTCTTTGCAGTTAAGCAAGCCCTCTTTCCCACTGCAGCCCAAGTATTAGTATCTGAAGCAAAGCTGCCGTTGCTGTTTTCGGCAAGTTATAGAAAGCTATGGAATTGCTTTGTTAGAAGAGGAAGGCACGATAAAAATTCTTGTGTTTGATTAAAGCAGTTCACTTTGAATTTCTGAGTTATTCTATATTAGCTCACCCTGGGTTTAATAAGTAATCTCACACCTAGTAGGTATAGCTGCTGAGGGAATGAAAAAGTGCTCTGGCCACAGGGGATCAGCACGCTGGGGCCTCCCCTGAGGAAGCCAGGCTACGGGACAGGGTCTCACATAGACCCGTCCGTACCTGGCCTTTTAGGCTTTGGTACCTGTGTGTGTGTATCACTTGCTCACTACTTTTTCGAATGATGCTTCATTTTGATGAGTAACACGTGGAAAAGTTTTTCTATCAAATCTCCCCATCTCTCTTAGATGAAATTTCCTTATTTAATATTGCACTTAGTCCCTTACAGGCATACAGGTCCAGGTTTTAATTTAGCATCACACACAATTTGTGGATTGCCTAATGCATAAACTGCAGGACGGGAAAGAACAGTCTTTACGTTAAATGCAGCACACATAAAGGAACTATATGGCTATTTCTAATAAAAGTTATATGAATGTTGTCACAGTCTCTCTCTCTCTCTCTCTCTCTCTCTCTCTCTCTCTCTCTCTCACAAGAAACAATAATAGTATTTTATGGAAAGGGAGAGAAGCTGCAATTTACTGGGCTTAATCAATTCTTATGCTACCATATGCTGAGCTGGAGATTGAGGTCGGCACAGACGTTACTGATTCTGGCATAGCTCGTGGACACCCAGTTTGCCTCGGACTCCGAAGCAATGTCCATTAAGGGAAGTTAAAATTAAATTTGATTATAGAACGATGCCCAAAGCTTGTATTCTGAGTTAAAAAAAAAAAAAGAAAGAAAAGAAAACTGCATACAGTTAAAGAAGCCGTCCTTTGTCAGTATTCAGGTACCAGAGTGACTCTGTAGCCTTTGGTGGGCTGTCTGCAGACGTTGTATTTATTTTTTGGGATAAGCACAGAAAGGAATGAAAAAGAACAAAACATGCCAAAATTATGCACACCTTGGCATCCTTCCAGCCACAAGCTTTGAAAGTTGGGAATCCCACACCAAGGAGAATAAGGAAAGAGATGAAAGAATCCTTACTTTTTGGACTATCTGGACTTCGTAGTGCAGCTCTTCCTTTGCCTTTGGGGGTTTTTAAACCATCTGAGAGGTACTGATGACCACTTTCTCCTAGCTCCAGCCTTCGCTTTGCCTGGAATAAGAAAGTGTGCTCGTTCGTCACTGGTCATATGGACAATAACAAGAAGGGAGGCTGTGTGCGGTCTGCCCTGCCAAATGCTGCTGCCTCGTGCCAGCTCTCACCCCTCTGCTCCACCCCACTCAGCATCTTGTCATTCCCCAGAGCCAGGATCCTGGCTCTGGAGGCCTGGCTGTGACGCGCTCTCTCTCTTCGCCTGCCGTGATCACCTGTCCACACTCAGATGGACAAACCCAGCGATTCTTTAGCGGTAGGTTCCGGAGCCACTTTGTTCATCTACTCATTGATTCAGCAAACGTGCCAGGCGTGGGGCTAGATACTAACAATATCGCAGGTGCCATGGAACTTAAATTCACTTTTACCCAGTGAGCTGTTCCTGCCTACCTCCTATTCCCTGACCTGCACTGGACCCCCTTCTTTGGGCTCCCCAAACACTCTATTCCTTGGTACCGTAACACTTACTGGGTATTACTGTAAGAGTTATTTTACTTATCTGTTTCTCATTTCCTTTAAGGCAGGGACTGTTTCCCATTTATCTTTGTATACCCAGTGCTTGGCACAGAGCCTGGGTTTCTGTAGGTATTCAATCACTCTCTCTATATACTGTATATTCAACGAAAGAAAGAGTGATTGAATAGTACCACAACTTGCCACAGACTACAAATGGTCCTTCATCAGAAAAACAAATATCACACACACTCAATCTTGGGCTCCAACCAATATTACTTTTTCTCCATTTTGTCATTAAGCCTGGCAAATGAGAAGCCATTGCCTAAGTGTTTAACTTAACTCCATTTCAATTTTAAAATATCCACAGTGTCTTCTATGTACAGCAATGGGCAAGATAGATAAGGGTCCCTGCCTTCCTAGGGCTTAGAGTCCAAGACAGAGGACAGATGATTAAATAAGTAGTTGTTAAGTGCTAATTGTATGAGTATGATGGTTTTAGGCAGAAGTGGCTCCAACTAGACACCTGGCATGCCAATGTGTATTTAGGCAGATTCAGTGAGGGGATCTGCAATTTCTTCCAGTGAGGGGATCTGCAATTTCAAAATAACTCCCCATGATGTGGAAACATTAGTGATAACTTATCAGCTAATGACAGATATCCAGTTTCTGTTATCAGCTAAACCAGCGATGTCCATCCCAGTAGCCACTGGCCACCAGCTCATCCAAATTGACACATGTTACAAGAGTAAAATATACACTGGATTTTGAAGACTTAGCATTATAAAAAAGGGTAAACTATCGCAACAATTTTAATAGTGATTACATGGTAAATGATATTTTGGCTTTATAAAATAATAAAAAAACCTAATTGATCTTTGAACTGCATGGGTTCACTTATAAGTCACTACTGAGACAGCAAGACTAACCCCTCTTCCTCTTCCTCAGCCTACTCGATGTGAAGATGAGGATGAAGATCTTTATGGTGATCCAATTCCATTAATGCATAGCAAATATATTTTCTCTTCCTTATGATTTTTTTAAATATTGTCTTCTCTCTAGCTTACTTTATTGTAAGAATACAGTTAACATACAAAATATGTGTTAACTGACTGTTAATGTTATTGGTAAGGCTTCCAGCCAAGAGTAGGCTACTATAGGTAAGTTTTGGGGAGTGAAAAGTTACATGTGGATTTTTGACTGTATGAGAGTTGGCACCTCTAACCTCTGTTTGGTTTAAGGGTCAACTGTAGTATTAAAATTATTTCACCTGTTTCTTTTCATATGTTTTTCTACTATGTGGCTTGCATTTTGGACACTCATTATCTTTTTTACTGGATAGCACTGAGCTGAACGTTACTCTGAAGGCCCAGCAAGGACAATTTGGCAACTTGCTTTCTCAATTTCATTTAGCCCTCCCGGCTATGCTGTCAAACCTTCGTGTGGGCCTATTGTTTTGGTTGGACCAGCAAACATTCCCTCTTCATCAAGTAGAAGCCCTGTGACCCTTTTTTTTTTTTTGGGGGGGGGGGAGCCGCCCCTTCCCTCTCATGGCCTAAGTACATTTGTGCACACAGGTGACCCAGGCCCAGCTAATCGTTGTGTCCTACCTTGCTTCTCCTCTCCCTCAGTGACTGGGTCAAGTGGCACATGGCCAAACCTGGATGAACAAAGGCTAACCCCGGGCATTTTTCTGGAGCTACCTGGCAAAAAACAGGTATGTCCTTTCAGTAGGGTTGATGAACTGGTAGCTTGAAGCTACTTGAGAATGGAGGCTCCCAAGGGGAAAGCAGAGAAGGGTCCCAGGCCACCATGGAAACTCTGACTCCTGTCATGCACTGGGGACTTGGTCTTTCCTAGACTTAACAGTTTCATAGCCAAGAAAATCTCCTTTTTGTTTACAGCACTTTGAGTTGGGAACATGGAAGTGTTGCAAGTGACCGCCTGCGGAACTGGCTGAGTCTAGTTGGGCTATGGTGCAAAGGGGAGCTGGCAAGCCTTGTTGAGTGGCAGAGTGTGTTGGTCACTTCTTGTGGTCACCAGGGAGGTCTAAGAGACAGGGATAAGCTTCGTTTGAGGCTGGCTCACCTAAACGAAAATGGCTTTGCTATGAGGGCCATTTTTCTCCGTAGAAAGTAATCCAAGAAGAAATAGAGCTACATCCTCTGCCCAAACTAAAGTCAACAGAAGGATAACAAAGTTAGAAAAGAGTTTGGGACACAGGCCCCCCCACCCCAACGCCTGGGCCCCCCCTAAGGCTGTACTCTCCTTGAGAACTAACTAGCCACTGGCCAGCAGCCTGGGGGCATATTAGCTTTGCCTTTTCATTCCAGGCTATTGTTTCAGATTAGCCTTGAGCAAAGGCCTATGGAAACTTTTAGCTGTAGATGAGAGACATTTCAGAGCTCTGCAGTTAAGAGACTGAGATCTAACTACAAGGACTAGGACTAGGCTCAATATGTGACTTTGATTACTAAGCACTAAGCCATAAATTGAATAAACCTAAGTACTGGAGAAGACAATCTCCTAAAATTAAAGGCACTTTTATTGCTAGAGAATCACTAAATCTATAAAGTGAAGGACTATGATGTCCTAGCCTGAAAGGGAATCAAATCACTACCCCATAAATCCACCCCATGAATAAATGAGCTGTGAGACAAGGGCAGCTCTAGAAATTCCTTCTAGAGGGTAGCTCTTGGGGCAGTCATGGTGGCCCCACAAACATGTCACCAAGGGCCTCCCATCCCTGTTGAGGAGGACATGACAAGCTCTGGAAGGTGACCAATTCAAATTGTTTCCCTTTTTCCAAATGGATGTTTCCATAAGGTTAGTTATCCTGTTACCTTTTACCCATGTTTAATGAATGGGGAGGGCTGAACTGGATTTGAGAGGACCACACATTCCCTGTTTGGTCCCAGATCTGAATATGGGTGTAATAATCAGACTCCCTTTTGAAGAAGGGCTAAGGATTTTGATACATGATGGAGCACCATTATTTCAATGCTTAACTTAGCAAATTCAAGCACATGCTTGCTAAAGCAAAAACTAGATGGTAGGATTTAAATAGATGATAATCTCCTTTGTCATCTCAATTTTTGTTTGTTTATAGGTGGAGTGTGTTGCTGAATGGAGGGTAATTCTATCATTTTCATGCAGATCTTCATATTACATGGCCCTGAGCAGTAAAACAACTAACCTATCTGGTGTTCTACAGAATGACCAGCCATTTGGCTCTAAGCAGGGGTAAAGGATGGATATGTGAGGTGTTATGTAGAGCTCCACTGGCACCTTCCTACAGTATTTTAAGGGTAACTTTGACTGTAATCAAGGTATGTGCCAATGTCAGAACCTCAGACCCAGGTAAGACAACATGTCTTTGTAATGAAACAGTTATAATAATTTCTGAAAACTGCACATATGAAAAGAAGAGTAAATGTTGGTCACCCATGCAGTGGGTTGTGGAGAGCATCCATAGTTTCCACCTGTCTGGTATTTATTCTCCCTGTATTTTTCCCTTGGGGAAGGAACTCTTCCACAGCTCTTAGTTCTTGGTGGGTCCGATGAGTCTCCAAGACTGAAAATAAAAGGCCTGAGATTGCCCAACATTTTAGGCAGATCCTTCCCATCAAGGCTGCAGAGCTAAGTGCTGTTATCTTGTCCACCAATCAGTGTATTCCAATCCTGGGGCTAAAGTGTCTGGTGTAAGGATGGGCCCATGAAATAATGCAGGATAGATCAGTCAAGCCTGGGATCTTTGTTGGGAATCACTGGGAAAGTACTGGGCTCTTTTCACTGGGAGTTATGAGGCCAGTAGGTTGTAGGCCTGGAGATAGTTGGGAACTGAGCCAACAGAGAAGAAGAAAGAGCTAGAGAGGGGCTGAGTCCCAGTGCCTTCAAGAGAGGTGCTAGATACAGCCATGCCCAAAGGCAGATATACCACAGATTTTCATTTGAGAGCCAACAAATTCCTTTTGGTATAAGGCAGTTGAGTTACATTACTCACACTGGCAATCAATATCTGATAGTTACAGACCTTTAGTATTAATTATTATGCAATGAATATTTGAATGCTTTAGAATATACCATGCTAACCTGCTTCCCACTCAATTCTGTCATCTCACTTTCACAATAACTCTATAAAGCAGTTATTATTACTTCCTATTTTACAGAAGAAAAGTGAGGTTTAGAGTGCTTAAATAACTTTAACAAGATTCTGCCGCTGGGAAGTAGAATAGGCAAGTTATGCCAATTAAAGTCTGTGCTTATTAACTATTTAATACTCCATGAAAAGATTATGAAAAATTGCCGCATAAAAACATTGAAAAGCTATATTAAATCGACAACATCCTAATATAAGCTGAAGTAACTTAATTTTATTCACAATTTTTAAAAACTCTTCTTTACATAATAAATGCACAGGGGAACTTAGGCAGCACACATGGGCATACATGGAAAGCAAACTTTTCTCCCGCTCCCAATCCTTAGTATCCTTCCTCAAAGGTAAGCAACTTCAATTACTTGGATATTCTTTCAGGTAGTCTAGGCAA